TGGGTGGGGATCCATCCCCCGCCTTGGGGGGGGCAGGGCTGGAACACTCCTCCCTCAGTCCCCTCAGGGAGCAGGGGGTAGTGCCATCCCTCCCACCCCCGCCCCATGGGGACAGGGGGAGGGGGCATGGGAACCAGGATTGCAACATCTGGAGTCAGGGTCGAAGAGTGACATCATGCAGGGCAGGAGCATGGTGGAGGAGGAAGGAATGTCTGAGGGAAGGAAGGGGTTGTGGATGGAGTAAGGGTTGTGGGTGGGGACAGGTGGGCAGAAGGGGTTATGGGAAGGAGAAGGGGAGTATGATGGGGCCTGCTGGCACATGGACAGCACCATCTTGGATTCCAACCACGTGGGGATAGGGGGGGTCATTACCTTTAACAACTGGGGTAGGAGGGTGCAGGGAAAGATCTCTGATAGCCTGTGCAGCACTATCAGAGATGGGGGGCTGAAGAAGACACACGGAACCAGGAATGGCATTCTCAAGCTGCATTTCCTGTGTTTCTTGGGCTGTTCCATGTATATTTTCAGCTCAGGAGCAGAGGGTTTGGAAGAAGGGTTGGGGGAAACCAATGGAAACTGTGGTGGCTGCCTCTTCGCCTCCCTTTCTCTGTTAACCAGTTCTTTCCGAATTAAAAGGAAAACCGGGAGATATTTTGAAGCAAATCTGTCTTCTTCCACTACTTTGAGGGTTAACAAATTTCTGTTCCTATCCCATGCAGGGACAGAATCTACATCTAGCATGTCAAGCTGTGGGAAGTAATGAGACAGCCACGAGACAAAAGCTTTCAACTTATTTCTAGAAATCTTAACATCTGTGGTAGGTAAAAAATTTTGTAATTTGGATTCAAAATTCTTTTGGGGTGCAGACAGCTGTGATCCTATTTTTGATATTAAATAGCTATTAGCAAACTCATTTTTATCTTCTTTCACCGCAAAAGGTAGACACCCAGCAGCAGCATGGTTAAATTTCGGTTGTCAGCCACATGGGGATGGGGGAGCAGAGGGCTCGCTCCTCCCCTGCACCAAGTTGGGTTTCTCCCATGCCGCTTACCGCTCGCGCCCCCACCACGCTGCCGCTGGCTGCCTCGGCCTGCTGCACCGCTCACACCACGCTTCCATGGGCCCGTGCCACTGCCTGCCACGCCGCTCTAGGCTCCACTGCTCCACCACACAGCCTCGGTGCTGCTGCTCCGGACCCATTTGGCCCATGTGTGCGGTTGATGCCGGCTGGTCTCACTCACCACTTTTGTGTCCCTGGATGTCTCTGGCGGTGGAATTAAGTTCCCCTCAGTTCTGGAGTTGACCCTCCTATGCTTCAAAGGGCTACCGACCCCTCCCTTGTGAGCTTACAGTCGTATAGAAACAGCGTGTGTCTCATAAGGTAATTGATTAACCTCGTTAGACTTACGAATCCCACTCGTGAATTTCCAGTCATTCGTGGGAAGCTCCAAAAGGCTTCTCCCACCAGGGCACCAACTGCTATTGTTTAAATGTCCACCAGCCCCCCTGCGACCGCAGTCAGCCTAGCTGTGGCCCAGAGATGGGGGAAGATAATAATAATAGCAAGGACTTAGGGAATAAAATGAGGCTCTTTTCTTGTGGGACAGAGTCCCAGCTTTAATTGGGGGAATCCAGTGCAGAAAAGAGGAGGAATCTGGTCCCACGCCGTCCTTTGAACCGAGGGAGAAGTGGGTAGGGTTACATGTTACCACCAATAGGAGAACATTACAAGGGAGGAGTCAGGGGAAGGAACTAACACTCTACAGATCAGAGGGTGTGTCTCAGGATTATACCAAAATTAATGACCCATCATGAGAATTGAAGGAGACAGTTAAAAAAGCTCTAATGTTCGGAATCAAGGTTTTGAGAATTGTGCGAGAAGAAATATAAACACTGCTGTCACCCTGAAAACTCAGCTTTGGAGCTTGCTGACATAGTTCTCTAAAGACTTTCCCAAGACAGTAACTGTAAACATAGAGATGTGTACATTCTTTCTGATACATGTCTTCTGATGGATATCTCTCACGGCCAGTGCAGTTGGGAAAGTGTTATCCTGACCATCCAATCCCTGACCATGGTCAGAAACCAATAAATTCTAGGAGAAGAAATAAAGCTCTCTCTTCCTTTCATCACACCTCAAGCTGTGTCCGTGTGATCTATTCATCTTCAGCAGCAACATCTGGTGACCCCTGATGTGTGTTGAAGGTGACATTGTGAGGCATTCTCTGTTTAGCCTGTAGATATGGCTGCTTTTGGGTTCTCTCCTACAGAGGCCCTGGTTGTGGGGGTGTGGCGTGCTGGTTTTGATTAGGCACGGATTGATGTTTTGGATGTTGACTTTCAGCAATTGTATACTTAGGGAAGAGCTGAAGGGTTTTTCCCTGTGGCTGAGGTGTTTTTTTGAAGCTGGCTTGGGACACATTAGGCAATTGCCTGATCTGGGCTATGGTGGTAGTTTACGACCCTCACCTGGCTCGGTTGCTGCAGATCTGGTGGGGGTGTGACCGCGCTTTGAACAGCTGCATGTCCACTTATGCCTGGTCAGTAGCTGCTTTCTCTGCCCTGGCTGAGAGGTCTGGCTCTGACTCCTACTCCGGCTGTGGGAGCGGGGCAGGGCTCTCCCTCTCCCCCGGTGATGCGGAGCCGGGGGGCAGCTGTGTCTGGAGAGAACCTAAGTTTTTGAGGGGAGAGGAAGAGTTCAAGGTGAAAATCTTCCATTTTTATAGAAGAATTTGGGGCTTTACAGAACAGTAACATTCTTCAGATACACAAGTCTATATAGTTTAACTTCCAATCTGAAGTAATTTGAAGTGGCTTTGCTTCCTTTAATAAAGACTTTCAAAACTGAATGCCTGAATTTGTTTTGGGTTTCAAGCTCAATCATATTTTGGAAGCAGAGTTAAACTGACAGAACATCTTTAGATGTTAGAAGGTTAGAAGGAGTAGAATAAACAGCAGGAGGCTGTGGACAGATATGTGAAGCCCACAGGTTAGAACCAGTTTACATTAGGGTGTGACAGATAATTTATATAACCTCAGTGTACTTCAGTTAACACAAAGTAGCTCAGGACAAAGTCTACAAAAATAATGTACTTATCAGAAGTAGTGGTTCTGGTTTACTTCTTTATGTGTGTAAAGATACGCTTTTTACTAAAAAAAAATAATATTAAAGACTTTTTATGATTTTTGTTAACATTTATAACAAAACAAACAAACCAAAACAGAAATAAAATAAACCAAACCAAACCAAACTAGTACTTTATAGCTAATAACTACTATTACTGATGGAAAAGAGTATTGAAAAATTTGGCCCACAGTCAAACGAACTGAACACTGCAAGCATCTTTAAAGCCAGCTCTGTCCTTCTGACATTGGGAAAAAGTCTGTACCCTTATTTTTGAAAGAAAAAAGAGGCCACCTATCAACTGAGCAATGGAAATTATTTATAATACAACTGTGGACAGAACCTCATCCATAAAGAAAGATTTCAAATCTGAAAAACAAACTGATTACAACTAGTGCATAACTACTCACTACACAGCCTTGCCTTCACCAAGCATAATTTCTAAGAGTAGTAGCATGGACTTCCTCAGTCCTCAGGAGGTACATTCATTGAACTCTACTTTTAAATAATGTTTACTTTTATTACCAGATAGTTGTTTTAACACCATCGCCTTGACATCATCCCCAGGAGAACAAGAAAATATGACTGCCTTCTCTTCTCAACCCCAAACTTCCATTGCTAAATTACTTGAGAAGTTTCAGGGGGTTTCTGAAAGATTGTACTGAAAACTGCAGCCACTTTATTAAAAGACAGGAACATATCTGTTTCCATATTGAGAATACACAACTGTTCAGGCAGCTCTGGCACCAGCATCTATCAGGCTCCTAAGTGACATGTCCCATAATTCCAGTCAAGTACATGGGACAGAATATTTTCCTTACATCAAAGAACATGTTTTTTATGTACTTTGACTCACAAAGCAATGTCATCCTGCAGCACTTCAGCATGAAAAATGAGAAAAACAGCACAAAAGAACACTGAGGCACTGAGAGGGAAAACAATCAAATTAAAAAACAGCACTCAAAGTAGTAGTAAGTGCTCATGAAAACTAGTAAGGTAGCAGAACACAGCAGAAGTAAGAAAAAGGATGATCTTTAATTAAAGTACTTTTAAGGACTACAGCTCCAAAGGTGCTCAGAAATAGGCAGGTTTGTTGGCATTAAGCAGACACAGGGGCAGAGCTGCACAACACAATTGGAGTGTGTCTGTGACTAGAGAAGTGAATATAAAAGGAAAGGAAATACACGTATTTTCTATTCAAAAGATTTTTCTTCCCTTGAAAGTCTTTGAAGAATAAAGGATCTGGTGTGGGTAGTGAAAAACTGAAGGTGGAATGATGCACTATACACAATCACAGAGGAGATCTAGACTGTGCACCATTCTGAAGTCTGAGGACCTGTGGATACACAGAGTTGCTCTGTTGAATTTTTTTTTTTACTTTTTTTTTTTTTTTCCCACTTGGGAAATGGCAGTTGATTTGAAGTGCCTGTTTTGTACCAGCTGAGATGAAGGATGGTTGTGTATACTCAGTTTTCACCTGGAAATACTTTGTGTCATGCCTGGAAAGACAGTACTGTAAACACTTGAATATTTTAGGTTCAGATGCTTATTGATGGAATATCTCATGTCAGAGCAGAACTCTGGGAATTTCTCCACTAAACAGAAGCAGAGGCAGCAGAAAATACTGGCCTGCTATGAAAAAGAAGTGTTTGGGTAGAGTGGGAGAGAAATGGTAATACAGAATGGTCAAAAAAAGTAGAACAATCTGTGTACAAGAAGATAGGAGAGAAGAACAGAATCTAGCTGGTGAACAGAAAATAAGAAACTTTGTAGATGGCAACTGCTGTATCCAGATGCTGGTAAAGGTTGGCAAAATTCTTCCCCAAATCTTTGCTGAAGGTTTCTTTAGCACAATCAAAAGTAAGTCTTCCATGAAAGCAGCTACTGGACTGGAAAGAACCAAAATATTACTTCATCTGACCCAATCATAACATTGACATAACATTGAATTCAGTCATAATCATTGAATTAATTTAGGTCATAAAAGACCTTGTTGAGCATTGAGTCCAAGGATAAGCCTAACACTGCCAAATCCATCACTAAACTATGTCCTTAAACACCATATCTACATGTTTTTAAATACCTCCAGGGGTGGCAAACCACCTGCTTCAGGGGCAGCCTGTATCAGTGCCCAGCAACCCCTTCAAGTGAAGGAATTTTTGCTAATATCTGTGGATACAAAAAGCAAGCAGGGAACAGAGCCTGTATGAAAATAAGTCACACAGGCTTCTCACTCTGGCCTGGGAAAGCATAAGAAAGAATCCAAATAGTCCTTGGTAAAGAATAACAATCTGCAAGTGTTGTTTAGTAAAGGGGTGGTGTTCCACTTAACCAATGATGGTGATGTGTACCTTTAATGACCAATGAGAGTTTTACCTAACAGACCTTCTCGAATATGTGTATAAAAGAAGATTAAGAGTAATAAACTTTGCACTCTTGGACAATGAAGCTAAGGTAGTCAGTGTCATGCTTCTCACCATTCCGAATGTAGTGCAACAAATATCCATGGTAAACCTCCCTGGCACAACTTAAGACTGTGATTTCCTCTCATCCTGATGTTTTGTATGTGGGCTAAGATGCTGACCCCCACCTGGCTACATCCTCCTTAGCCTACTTTTTCACTGGGTCTTGTTCAATTGCTGTTGACCAGCACTGCCAGGACCTTTTCCCCTGGGCAGCTCTGCCCCAGCCTGGAGCATTACATGGGGTGGTTGATTGTGACCAAAGTGCAGAATCAATACTGTTGCCTTCAGAAAAGGCTGTTATGTCAAAGCCAAAATGTTTTGTGTAGGTCTAGCTAAAGCCCAAGCAGAAGTCTTTGGAAACCTGGTTTGATTCCTCTAAGAAAAATTTGTGGACTACTGTGCAGTATGGGTTACAACCCTTGTGCCAAGGGATTACTCCAGCATCAGGATACTGTCCTAGAGCTTAGTACCAGCCCTATGTTGACTGCATTTCTCTCCTTCATGCTCAGCTCCTAATCATGAAACAGAGAAAAGGATTTTGACTGACAGCTGTACTCTTTCCAAACCAGTGCCTTTTCCTATGATTTTCCAGATAACTGTTTGAGAGGCTAAAAGGATGTAACATGCTGTGCAATGAAAGTCAGATTTAGCTGCACTCCTCAGCAAAGTAGCACCTCCATAAACAAGGACAAAATGTCAGAGGTTTCTCCTTTAACTTGGATTAGTTTCTCTAAGAAGCAGCTCTGGATGTGCTGGGGTTCACCTTCTCAACCTTCCTTCCTTCCCTTCCTCCCCTCCTCTGTCATTCTCTACAGGCATAGTAAGGAAATCTGAAAATGTTAATAATGCTTCAAAACTCTTGCTAAAATTCTGAGCAGGTAGCAGACTCTTGCTTCCAGAAAATGCCTTTAATTAGGTTTACTGAGGTATCACCAGCAATTCTGCAAGTCCCTTGGGCACCTTCCTTGGCTACTGCTTTCTTGGTTTACTTCAAGTTAAAAGAGAGTGACCATTTTGGAAATCACTCTGTTATCGAAGAGGACATTCATAGTTACTTCTCCATCAGTCATACATCTGGGCTCTTGAGAGATGATTTAAGCTTACCAGAGAGAAATCTTAAAAGCATCACAGCTCTTTTCACAGAAGAGAACAAGAAGGAGCAGGGCTGCTTTAGAACAAACATTTCCACCAGGGCTTACATAAACAAATATTCTAAATGTTTTCATTTGTTGGGGAACAAGTATTTTCCAAATGTTGTAGTTTTCAAAAACCTTGACAAAATAAAATGCTGCAGGAGTTGTATACATATCAGAAAACAACAACAGTATTGTTGCTTGGCACAGGAGACAATCATTCTGCTCTTCACATTTTAATGTTGTTTCATACTCTAGTAATCCCAACAGACAGTTTTTGATCTAGCCAAGTTTATGACAAAAAGTAACAAATCTATGTTCTTGAAGTACTGTCAATTACATTATAAGATATCTAATACTATTAAATTTGTTTATTAAAAAAGAAAGACAAGTCAAGAAGAGCAAAACAACTGGCTGTCACTGAAATAGGTTCCTGAGCTGGATGGCACCAAGTTTAAGAAAACATTCTTCCACATTCTCCTGCAAGAAAAGACACTAATTCTATCTATAACACACTTCAGAGTCAAAAGACACTGAACACTGAGCATGCAGAAATACAAATTTGTAAAAATCCAAATTATTCCCATGGAGGAAAAAAATAAGGTTTATTTCTTTTGATATTTGACAATGTATTCCTGAAACTTCACCTAACTTACTCTTTGGTAAGCTGTAGGTCCAATTTTAAAAAAGAACTCTTTTGTTGTGAAATACATTCATGACAATTTCACATTTTCTGAAAAATTAGTTCTGCCTCTGAGAGATGTTAATGGCTTTAATTATGCTGTTTGTACAAGAGCCCTGTAAAAGTACCAGGTCTGTCTAACACCAGGAACAATTTAAACAACAGCAAACAACATCTTGTATTTGGCACCCTTTTTCTTGCAGACTGACTTGTTGCTGACCAAATACAATTAGTATCAGTGGAAGTTTGCTTTAGCTTTAGGGCAAGCATATCAGGAGGGCTTAACAAGCATTGCAAATCAACATTCAGCTACTCCTATCCCATCCCAAGGCTTCAAATACTGAGCTTTCCCTGCTTGTTCCCAGAGTCAAGATTTTTCTATAGAGCTAGAAATAAGCATATATCAAGAGGGAGACTGAAATGGTTTATTATCCTGCAAGCACCAGAATTTTCCATCAAAAGACTTTTTTCTTCAAAACCAGCTCACATTTTCTGGGTTTTTTTGTTCTTCTCCCTCCTGCAACAGAACTGACTGCTTCCTAAGACATATTAAGTTGTACTATTACAACCACAATACTGTCATTTTATAGACAAATCATGCAACATTTTTTACTAAGGGTTTTATTATTGTATTTTAAAGTCAACTGGGACATTTGAATTTTCATATCTAAGTATTTTTAAATCAGTGAATTTTAAGAGTGAAATATTAGAATTAAACAGTTTGACAAACACTAGAAAGTCTAAAAAGTCAGGTGTGTCGTAAGTGGCTGCAAATGTGTTTGTAAAACATCATAACCCACATTTGAATCAGAGATGCAGAAATACACACAATAGTCAAAATGTTCATGTTTAAAACTTACTTTTAGGAGGATTTTTCTCAAAATTTCCCAAAATTTTTTATCATTTTACTCCATCACATATTACATGAAAAAATCCACATAGAGATATGAAAATCTTATTTAAAACCCCAATATTTTGGCCCTTAAGGAAATTCTAGCAATTCAAAATTGATTTCAGGAACGTAGGAAGTTGACATCCTGAAGCTTATTGCAATAGAAAAATTTCTAGAAGTGATTTAGCTGATGTATATATATATATAAAGTATTTATATATATATAAAGTAAAAGGTTGGTAATGACCTAATTTTAAAGGTGAATTTAAGTAATGTAATTTGTATGTGAATAGTTTTTAAATAATCACAAATTAGGTAAGTTTTGTTAAAGACACTATGACAAAACAATTCCTAGAGAAAATTCCTGGTTTTTTTACCTTTTTATCTGACCAAGAGGTATAACTTATGGGTATTTTTAAAAGCCTGATTTTTTTAAAATTTTGCTTGGCCATCTTGACCAGAAACTACTTACTATTAGACAGTGCATGTAATCTAACTTATTTAAAAAAAAATTAAATATTTATTTGTTGTACTATATTATGTTGTATTTTCTTCAGTAAGTTAAAAGTCGCTTTTACAGTGGTTTGTTCTGTTTCCCCCCTTGCTTTGTTGGTTTGACTCAAGTTATCTCCTCCCCTATACTGCTCATCACTGTAACCCAATTCCATGTTGCAGCATCTTCTCCATCCATCATTATAAGCCCTGCCCCTTGTTCCCAAATGTTCCTTGTCAATCTCCTGATATTTGACACCCTGTTGGTTTGTGTAGATTGTTCCCTCCTCCATGCTTCCCATTGGTTTCAAACCCCACTTTATACTCCTCCCCACTTCATTCATTCCCTATCAGTCTATTACTTGTACACACATCTTTACCCTCCCCCATATATAAGTTGCTTCACCCCCTGTGTCTTTTGTCTTTCGTCCTGGGACCCTCCTTGTGAATAAACCTCCTTGGAAACCATACAGAAGACCCTTCCCTGATCCTTACCATGCCTCATTACATACTGCAGAGAGCAGCCTTGCTACTACTGAGCCAAGCAGACCTGCTCTACCACCACTTGGACTATTTGTAGTCCGAGGGTTCCCACACTTGGCACAGTCTGGGAAAGGGCTAGCCGGCAGATCGTCTCTGGCACTGCATCATTTATTGTATTGTACCTTCAGTACAAGGTTCCCTTCCTCTTATAAGTGCTAGTAAATTCTACTACTACTTCTGTCCATACTCATACTAGTGTCATACTCATAGTGTTATAGTGTCCATACCACTAGTTCCAAAATAACTAAATACCAAAACTCAAGAGCTTGCCTCCTGTTCTTCAGAGTTGTAGGCAGAAAATGATGATATTCTTTCCCGTAACAGGCAGAGAGAACCAGACAATGAAATTAGAAGTACAAGACATTAAAATGTGTTTAAAGTCATCAGAGCATTGTAAAATTATAGGTAAAGATTTTTTTTTCCTCCTGATCTTCTCTTACAATCTCAGGTTCATATTCTCCCCCAGAGGGGTACAAATTTTACAGATACATCATTCTGAGCAGCATAAGGGGCTGTAATCTTGTTAGTCTTGCTATCTTAAAAAGTCACAGATAAGGGGACTCTCTAGTGCCCTGACTTCAACTATTTTAACAGACATTGCCACAAATTAAAACTTTTTAAAGGGTACCTGTGAAATTATTCAGTCTCTTTGACAAAGTAGCATAAATTAAATCCACACTAACAATCAGAAGAGGTAACAGTAAAAATAACAGCTGAGGCTGGATGTGGGACAGTTACACACAGATTAACGTAAATGGCCACCTAAATTAATGGAATGATGTAAAGAACTGAAAGAAGAATATTTCTAATTCAATAAGAAACAAAATCTACTACCCATCTAGATATCAGAAACCTGTCCTCACTAACAAGCAATAACACCCATGAGAGATTGCAAACCCACTTTGAATCCATAAAGCAGATAGTACTCAGGCTGAAAAAACATGCAACTATGTATTACATTATGGAGACAGGTGAGCCTGCCAAGGTTTTCCCCTGGAGGAGTGTGCCCTGAGGGAGCTGTGATAAGCTGACCTCAACCCTCTCCTGGAGAGATACCCCTTAGATGAGACCATGGTGAGCTATCCCACCATGCTTTGGTGACTATGCTGATCCTTTGTAACCCATTGGTTTTCCTCCCTGGTACCACCTTGGCTTTCCCCCATGAAAAGCCCAGCTTCTGCCCAGTTCAGGAGGGAGCTGCCATCCCCGGCACTCCTTCACAGAGCTGCTGGACAATAAAAGCTGTCTCTGGAATTGCCACATGATGCACCTCTCTATCTCTGAGTCAGCCTGGGATAAGCTCACAAGCAGAGCTAAAATCACTGAGCTGAAATCACTGAGCTGATCACTTGCAGCCATAGGCTGCCCCTTGCTGAGGTTACCTGGTGGTCAGGGATTGCCAGAGATCCCCCAAAGGCTGTCTCTTGTGGGACTGCTCTCTCTGGGAAAGTTGTGGCATCCCAGGTCAGATCAACGGACCTGCCTGGCCCATGATATTACATGACATTTTAAGGAACTGCCCAAGCAGCTCAGCTGCTTCCATTTAGCTATTGTAGGGCACAACTTAACTTTTTATTCATATTCTTTGTTAACAGAGTTCAAACACGTGCACAAAATGTAATGTTAAGGATCCTTAATGCAACCAGACTATTTTTTTACCTTCCTGCCTAGATCTAGAAGGGAAAAATCTGCCTAGAAGGAAAAAATCATCAATAATTTCTCTATAAATATGGGGAGAGGGGTTGTTGTATTAGCCTGAATAATACTAGTGAAAACACTTCTGGCTAAAATTTGTGATGCCTGTCTCATGCAAGAGAGATAAAGACATATCCAAATGAACAACAACATTAGAATAAACTTTTAATGACAAGCAGAAAACTCATGAGCAATTTCAACTTCTTCTTTCAGCTTCTGACTTTAGACTGTGTGACCTTTTTGATGTCTGCTGAAATGAGGTAAATATTGTAAGGTACAGTAGAATATGCAGGAGAAATTAAAAATCCCTACCATGGGATACATTCTGAAGTATTCTCCTCTAGCATATTTATCTGCTAAAAGAAAAGCAGTTATAGATTGACTGATTAAATAAAAAAAACAACATAGCTGGACTTCAGGCAGTATCCTTTATAGTAATTTCTTGGCTGGTATCTTTCTTTTAGTGCTATCACTTATTTCATAATAAAAAGCATTTTGTATCCTTAGTCAGATGTGCTGTAATGGCTTCAGTATGTCATATTTGTGGGCAACAACCTCTCAGGACTCAATTCCTTCAAAAATTTTTACTGTAAAAATCTCATAATCTTCAACAGAATTGTTCCTAGTTTATACAATAAATTAGACTACAGGATTAGCTATGTTTAGAAACAAAACAAAACCATTGCCAAGCGAGGTTCTCATGAAAGCAAGACATGATCATAATTTGGGAAATCATTACACCCAAACAGCACCCAGTCTTGGGGTTCCTGTAGTTGCAGTAATATTTTTGGTACACAGTAAATTAGATTATCAGGACCTGAGCATGTAATTCCTTTCAAAAGAAAAAAATCCAAATAAACAACCTTTGAAAGAACTTCTGAACTTGATCTCACATGATGGTCATGAAACTCTATAATGTTTTGGGGAAAGATCTAACTTCCATTTTGGATAGTTATGCTCCCCCCCCATCCCCTTCCTCCCCCCTTCCCCCCGTGGAACAGTGAGACTGAGGGGAAGGAAAGAAGAATTGAAGCACATAAAGTACTTTTTTTTGCCTCTTTTCTTAACAAAATGCCAAACTGACAAATAGATTGTCGTAATGAAATTGAAAACCAAATAGAGACTACTGATATAGATGCAGTTTATGTAAAAAAGCTTCCATTTTTTTCCCAGAATGGCAACCTTAATAGTAATAATGCATGAAACAGCTATTTGTTCTTTATTGTAGAACCAATGTTACTGACTCTGAAAGCAACCGTGTGGCATAATGGGAATTCTATCTCCAGTACAGTTTACTTCTGGCTTCTTTTGCAAATGATCCTCATATGAAAATATCTACAATTACAGTAGTTACTTTACAAGAAAAGCCTTTTGGACTGTAAAGAATGGCCTTTGTCAGCTACTTGAGAAAACAGGCTACAGATTAAAACATTTACAACAAAATAAGCAATAGTCTTTGTGTTTGAATGCAAGTATATTTTTACTCCTCTTTACCAGGAAAGCTCTGGTGCCAAGGAGGAATTCTTTAAAAGTATTTGAAAGAAGAGGAAGTAAATTAATAGAATTTTATAGGAATTATTGTAGGAAGCTAATTCATGTAGAAAGTATGTTTCAAAATACTTTTTTAAAAATTATAAAACTTCTTCCAAAGTAACCATGTTTCCACCTGACATAGCAAGAATCTAATCGACCTTCTATAGAGGAGACATAACTCCTATTAATTTCTGAGGCAACAGATGATACAGTTGTTTGCAGGAACCAAGTCCCTCACAAAGCTGAGACTTTTACATCAGGAATTAACTGAGAAAAGGATCTTTCTAGCAAAGGTTAGATTCTGACCTCTTTATAAATTAGTACCTTTTTCTGCAACTCAATAGTACTTGTCTCACTGGGACTATCACTAAGAATTCTGCTTGCCATAATGATAAAGAATGTCCTGATGTAGAGGTTTTCCAGGAATCTGATGTCACCTATGTCCACTGTACGAAATAATACTGACAAGATCCATGGAAGAAAAATTTATGTCTTAAGCTCTTTATTTTTCAGTGAGCTAGTGTAAATTTTAACTATAGGGTGTAAGAATATATGGAAGCCAACATTTTAACCATTTTTCTGATATTTACATAGGAGCTGCATAAACAAGAAACATATGGCTTTCATCCAAAAGAGAAAAATGCCTGGCATGGCAGTAAACAGAAATATTCAAGGCATGATGAATATTCCTTAAGAATCAAAGAAAGAAAATAGTTCTTTATACCCATAGGGCAAACTTCTGAAAGAGAAAAACTTGAAGAAAATTACTAAGAAGGTTTGGACCCAGAGGCAGATCTTAAGACTCTTGCTTTCCATAAATGCCTGTGCTTTTGATAAGCAAGTCATATTGTGTAAACAATTTATCTGTATTATAGAATCTGTCACTGTTTTTCAAGAAGAAAAGCTGCACTGAGTCTTGCTTTTTCATTTGGGACAAAAGAAAAGCAGGCATGGATGAAAAATGAAGGCTGTGTTGTCTTCTACCACTACAGTTGTTTTTAAATTATGTTATACATTTAAATACATTTTATCATAGAATCATAAAAATATTTGGGTTGGAAAGGACCTCTAAGATTATTGAGTACAACCATAATCTTGACACAGCCAGGTCAGTACAGTACAGTACATCCAGGAACAGACATTATACTGCAATAAAACAGACTTTAGAGCAAGGAAAAACTTCCAACATTACTGTATACCTACATGGTTCATGTGAAGGACAATTATACCAAATCTAGTCAAAATTTAGAGGTGAATAATGCTTAGCCACATTGGTACATAAAATTTCAGAATGGATTTAATGGAATTTTACCTCAAGTAGTGAAAGATTTCTTACTTAAAAGAAAACTGATTTTTATGGATTTGCTGGGTATTTTTTTCCTAATGTTGTACTTGGGAAATTAACTGCCAAATTTGACCTGCACAGGATTAAGCTAATATTTCATTATTAGAACTGAATATCTATCTGCACAGCAAATAGTTACATACACTTGAACTCTTTCCTAATTCATTTGAGGTCTTGGAGGGACTCGGGGGGTTTTAGATTTATATGTAATTTCTTTGTAAAACACAAATCTTTAAAGTGGTACCATTAGTCCATGAAATTCAAGTACAAGCAGGATTCAACCTCTACATAGATGAGCTGTTTCTGTATAAAGGAAATGGTTTTAATGGTTTCATAGGAATATGTCTCTACCTGGGAGTTTTGTTGAAAAAGCAGAAGAAAGATGACAGGACTGACTGGATATAGATGTCATTGTGCTGCTAAAGACATTCCAGGGCAAGTTACCTCAGAAAAGGCAATAAACAGGAGCTTAAACCTCACTGAGCAAACAGGAAAATAGGTGTTAAATGTCTCAGTATTTTGAAGATAAAATCTCAGTCTTCCTTCAAAATACACAGATGATCTCTACATTATTTGAAAATACTTACCGTATGGACTAAATTATGCAGATTAGGTGACAAAAGTAGCTTTTAAAAATATAAAAATTAAGCATAATGTTTGTCACAGTTTCAATCACGATAAAAATTAACCCACCAAATTGATATAGAGGGACTTCATATGTGAGAGATTGGTACCTCCATTTCTTAACAAACACACCTCCATGAACCATATAAATCTGCTTTTCAGTGATTGCTCCAGCTTTTTTGATTATATTGAGAGAACAAATTTTGATTTCCAATGCACTGAAAGTGTCCCAATCATTTCAGTGCAAAGCAAAAAAAAATTTCTCTATGTCCCACAGTCATAGGAAAACTGCTAGGAAAACTGTCCTGGCATATTCAGCCATATTCTACAATTTAGTAATCAAGCATTTAATCCTCCTTAATAGTCAAAGGATTCATTGAGAAGTCTATTGCCACAAGTCAATTATTAGCCAGTGCTACTGGCTAAGTGTGGAAGTGGTCAGCAGCAGCTAGAAGTTGTGTTGCTGTACACACTTTCACTGAACACCAGAATCACAGTCACATTTTCAAAAGAATTAACAGCTCATTTAGACACACAACTGAAGGTTTGTCATCAAAAGGATTCAGTATGCATGTCATCATAGACATGGCTAGATTCAGTTTAGACCAATATTTCCCTCTTTTCTATCATACAAGGAGAAACCCCACTACTAGAAGGTAGTGTGCCAGCACATGACAACAGTCAAACACACTTGGCTCCAGGTTACAAAACCAAGCCCAAAGAGACTGTTTCGAAAACTCAGCCATGTATTGCAGTGACTGAATTCAAGCTGAACTTTCAATAAATACCCTTGTCTTTTGAACTATGTTAAGGTGATCTCTAAGTGATGCCCAGATTCTCAGCGTGGAGCAGCAGTGCCTGGGCAATACAATTCAAAGAGCTGAAGGATCAGAGAGGTAATCACTTCAACATGAATGAGTAACTGGTGCTTTAGGAGAGGAAAATGTAGCACAAATGTAGGAGTTGAGTGATAGTATAAAGTTTACAATTTGAGATCTCATTTGCCTTACTATACAAGGTATCCATGCATGAAAGAACTGTGATTTAGCAACTAAATCTATACAACAGAAGAAACTGAGTGGTCTTGAAATTTCTACTTGTATTATGTGGAATTTTTGCCATAAAAATTAATTGTTCCTTTGAACAGATGTCAGAAAACTGCATGCTTATAAGTACATTCCAATTATAAATGCTTAAAAATTTGCCAAACAATATCTAATTGTTTTGTCTGAGTAACAACATAATAGGACTAACATCTGAATGTTAATAAACTCCTATTCTTATTGCTGTGTTGTCTTAGAAAGTTTGTGAGTAGTATTTTTGGCTCACAATACCTAAATTAATCATGAACTTTACAATGACAAAATTTCCAGAGCCACTATAGTGAACATGATGCTATTAGAGGTTCATCCACTACTTTGACACAATGCAGAAAATACATAATTTCTAGACACAAGGTCTGTTCTCTAAATCATCAAGGTCCCCCTGCAGGGGCTCTCTGACAGCAATGAACCTGTAAAGAGTGGGATTCTATGCAGTTGTGGCAACTTTAGTGGAACTAAATTAATTTACACTGGTTAGGTTAAGAAAATAAAAAAAAGGAATCTTAAAATGTGTATATGGCAGCACAAAGAAACCTGATTCAAGTGAAAAATATCTGTTTCAAATTATTTTACTGTAGAACCAAATTAGCTTTCAAAGCATGATGCACATTCCAGCACATTATTGAGTTCACTGCATAGGAAATAGAGAGAGTCTACTAATTCAACCACTAAAACCACTAACGGTATACATTATCTTTGGAGTAACATGTATTGTGAGAAGTCTATCCCCAGGCACTATTTGAATTCAAGAGCTGGTTTTTTTTTAGACTAAAACACCTATTCTCACATCCCAAACCACATTATTGACCTTCTTTGGCTTTAAAGTCAAAAAATCTTAGTCATGCAAGAAAGAGGACAAGCAACTTACATCAGCTGCAAATTAAAAAAACCCCACAGGATCAGATTAAGAGACAAAAATCACTCTCTTTAAAAAAAAATAAAAATCTTGCTGGAAAATATTTCACTAGCAAAGAGGAAGTACACACTTCTGTCCCTGACAATTTAATATGCTAGAAATGTTTGAGTCTGAGATACAGAGTGTGTGCCCTTGTCTCTGATGCCTAGCTTTGAGATCCAGGAGAACACTGAATTTCATATAAGATGAAATTTATGAGCATGTTTTCGTGCTGATACATGAAAACAACTGTTAAGGTTAGACAGAAAAACTAAAAGTGTGTGTAGATTAGAGAGTTTTCTTAAGTCACTGGGTGAAAAAGTTAGTTTAGAGTTTAAGCTAGTTTAGAAAGTAGAAGGCAGAATGGAGGATTTAGAGTATTGTCTATTTTCCTTCTTCTTGTTTCTTCATGTTCTTCTTCTAGAGGTTTTTGGGTAATAGTAAGTTATTGGATAGAAAATGCCGCAGTGCAGCACACAGGTGTTGGGACATTGGGTCATTAAGAAAAATAATATACGTGTCTATTGTTAATTGGATAAGAATAAGTATAAAGATAAAAGAACTGTGTAGTTCAGGGCCACTTTGTGCCATCAGAGCCAAAATGTGCCACATTGTAGTGAATTAAATTTGTGCAGAAAGTCTGGAGAGACCTGCCAAGTTTTGTGGTAACATCCTAATAAACATGAGAAACAAGATCCTAACGAGCTTTGGAGTTTTCTTCTGACCCTGAGAACTGAGATAAATGGAACTCCCCGTGAAAGAGTATTCCAAAGGAGCCCAGCTCAGAGAAGCTGAGAAATTCAGGAGTGAAGTACAGAAGAAGCACAGCAGAATCAAGAGAGAAAAAACAGATTAAAAAAGTTACAAGAAAGGGGTTCTCCAG